TCAGCTGCAGAGCAAGGGCTGGCTGAAGCTGCAGCTGGCTGGGGAGCCCAGAGGGGTGACAGGAGCACCACACCCACCTGGCCACCAGCAGCATTTTGTGCAGGTCATCGGCCGTGACGCTCTCGGGGTTGTTCTTGCGCATTTCCACAAAGTCTTCTTCCACTGCCTGCAACAACGCAGTGTGGGATTATGGAGCAGAACACATCTCCAGGAGGAGATAAGAACACTGTAACAACCTTTAGATTTCAACCTTTCAACTCATTGCTGCTGAGAAAAACCAGGCTACTTCTCATCTTTGTAAAGAAGCCATTTTCAAAATGAGTGTTAGAAAGCAGGTTACATGCACTGTTCCTTATCTAATAAATTCAGTATATACTTTACACACCCTTGAAGGCACAGTCAGGGTGTGAAAATGCTTCTATTTGGGTTTTGTAAAACTTAAAGGAGAATCACTGACAAGGCAAGTACGGTAACTGTCTACTCAGGTGGTTTCTATCCAAACACACAGCTGAAAACAAGTGAGGGAGGTGTCCCTACCTTGGTCACCTCATCAGATATACTGTAGTCCAGCAGCCTCAACAAACTCAGGTAAATTCGGAATTTGTTCAGCACGGAGGGCAGCACTGCCGTGAGGAGGCTGCTCATGTACTCTTCCATGTTTGGGGGAATTATCTGTGGCTGTAAGTGGACTTGGCAATCTGACTGAAAGAGAAAAATCACATTTCATCTCTTTCCATGTCCCACTATTTTCTATTCCAAGACTAATTTACTCTCAGAAGGAGCAGAAATCAGTATTTCCCAGAACCAAGGTAAGATAATTCTTGAAATACTCTCCAGCTCACGTTTTGAACAGCTCCTGCTCCAAGCAGGAGAGCCAAGGTTGGCATGTCAGAGAGCAAGCTCAGGGTACTGCAGGGGCAGTGCCTCATCTGTGCCATCACCTCAGAACCCCCCGTGCCCGAGGGAGGCTGGAGAGCAGCCCATCTCTGCAGCTTTACCCACCCAGGCTCCTTCACCACCTCAGAAAGGAGGAACAGAGCTCCATCCCTGTTTTCTGGCCACGAGGGAGCAGGCAGCAGCTGCTGCCAGTGTCACACCCTCCCTGGTCACAGGACATTTCCTGTCCCCACCTGTCCCTCCCATACCGGCAGCAGCGAGCGGCCCTCGGAAGTGATCAGCACATTAATGTTGCATGGGAATTCCATCCGGTGGTAATTGAAGTCATAATCCACCTTCTGCCAGGTGATCAGGTTCCCCAGGGCTGTCACATTATGGACACCTGCAAGAGCCACAGCAAACTCCCTGAGCACTGAGCACAACAAATGTCAGCCCTGAGTGCTGTGTCCCATCAGTCTTTAAGGAGCAGCAAGCAGAAGGATTCTGCAATCACCCTGTTCCTCCTTGTGTCTGAGGTGTCTTCCAGACACAGACAATCACTTCTTAATCTGAATCTAAATTAAGAATTCTTAATTCCAGGCCCAAACCCTGTCTGGCTTAGTACATGAGTTCATATCTCATGTCTTCACTGGCCCTACAAAGCCAGGTATCTATTCAGAGAGAAAAATGAAAAAAGAAATCTCTCCTCAAAAGCAGAAAAACATCAGCAATTTAATTTTGCCATTTTTTTAATGGTACTCACTCACCTTACCTGGAATTAAGTTATTTAAAATATAAAATGTTAAAATTGACAAATTAACTGGTTGACCCTTGGGATGCTCTCTTTGAAATACCAACATGTACCTGACAAACTGAATTTCTCTTCAGCAGTTACTGCATCAAGTGACAAAACTACTGTTGTAGTTTTGCCTTTAAATACTTAGTAATAATTTAGTACAGTGTAAATAAAGACAAAGTTAGCAAATAAAGACAAATTTAATATTTGGGTTTACTTCTGGGACATTTTTCCATTTGAAATTTCCAAGCTGTAGCTTCCAAGAGCTCCAAACCAACTGCCACATCTGAAGACACTCTAGGATTAAATTTTGTTCCTAATGCTGCTGTAAGAAATGAATAATTTGTACTTCTTTACTCTAAATTCAGTAGAAAACAATATCACATCAGCAAAAAAGAAATAAAATTACCAGGCCCTTTTATCTGCAACTTTTAATATCTAAAATATTATTTTTTCACTAAATGCTGAGTATTTTTAAACATTACAGACAAACATTTTAGAAAACCTGTAAACCAGCACAGCAAGAATTCTCTATAATGGGAGTTTACCATATTTTGACTAATTTTTTTTTTGAAACAGTCAATGCAGAGCTTGTTAGTCATTTTACTATTTTCTTTAGCAAAATTTTGTAGCTTTACTAAAGACGAGTAGCAAAAAATACTGAAAACTCAAAACTGAGTAATTTCAATTTGCAACTTTTAAGAGCAGTCATTGAAAAAACCAAAGCAGCTTTCTCCAGACAGCATTTTGATTTTTTGACATTTAGGATGTCCTGAGTTGGAAGGAACCCACAAGGATCATTGGACTCCAGCTGCTGGCCTTGCACAGGACAGCCCCAGGACTCACCCAAGACACACACGTACTGTGCATTCTGCAGGTACTGAGCTTTTAATGCAACTCAGCTCTTTTAAGGGAGTTCTAATTAAATTAATTTCTAAAGCTTTGCTGAAAGCACGCTACACAGTGCTACATCAGCTTGTAAGACAGAATCCCCACTATTTTTAACACAGCAATAGCAATCTTTTTTTCTCCAGTTCTCAGGGATGGTTTCCAGATATACAGTAAAAATACAGAGCATAAGGCATCAGCATATGCTTTGCCCACTTCATGCACTACCACAGGAAACTGAAAGGCCACTCCAGTGAATCAGAGTTATTTTGGTAATGAAGAATTCTCCCAATTTGTCTTAAGTTGGCTGAGAAGGCTGCAGGAAGCTGCTTCAAAGCAGTGCAATAGGATGTGGAAGCCACAAAGAGTTTTGCACTAGACCCCTTACCAGCGGGACACGATTATCACCACTGCCTTAAAACACAGCAGCTTTTAAGCTCCCAAAGGGGCTTGCAGACACCAGAGTGTGTACCTGCAGTGTCCAGCTGTCCCTGCTCCAGCTGGGTCTCGTCGATGACCAGGGAGGTGTGGCTGGCCAGCTGCAGCAGCCCGCTGACCAGGCGGTTGGCAGCGTAGTCCTTGTGGGGGATGAAGCGCGAGTGGTTCATGCTCTCGATGCTCATGCGCAGGTGGTAGGACTGCAAGGAGCAACAAACATCAGCAGCCAGGCAGGGCTGCTCCTGCAGCTGCAGCTGTGGCCTGGCTGCCTGCACAGCAAAGCAGAACTTGGCACTGCAATGTTTTATCCCAAATATCCAAATGCCGTGTATTTCAAAATTTCCCAAAGGAAACTACTGCTGTTAAGAATTCCTATCACCTGTTCTGAACATCTAGGATGAGCTCAATAAAAAATGATTTATTGCAGCAATACTGTTGTGTATGACCCCAAATTGAATTACTGTGGCTTTTCTGCAGAGCAGTATCCACAAACTTGAGTAAACCCTAATGACACCACTGTAGCCATGATATTTTCTGAAAAATCCTTTCCTTAGGATTTTTCCTTCTGAGAAGCTGAGAGGCCTCAGGAACAAAATGTAAACAATGATTATCTGCTGCTGTGGAATGCAACAGGTGCATCTGGGATTGGTCTCATGTGGTTGTTTCTAATTAATGGCCAATCACAGTCAGCTGGCTTGGACTGTTTCGATCAGTCACAAGCCTTTGTTATTCATTCATTCTTATTCTATTCTTAGCTAGCCTTCTGATGAAATCCTTTCTTCTATTCTTTTAGTATAGTTTTAATGTAATATATATCATAAAAAAACAAATCAAGCCTTCTGAAACATGGAGTCAACATTCTCATCTCCTCCCTCATCCTAAGACCCCTGTGAAGACCATCACAGCATAATTTAATAACCCAAATGTCTAAACACATCAATCCAGAAAGACCAAATAAAGCATGCAGCATCTGCCTATCAGCTCAATACCTTTGAGGAGAGGATTTTATTGCATACTCATTCCTCGATGATGAGGCACACAAACTTCAACACACAGGCCAGCCCCATCTCTATTGTTACCTGCTCTGTATGTGGGGAGCAGGAGAAAATACATTCTAGGCCAAGTGTTGGAACATTTTAGCCTGCCTTGACCAGGCTGGA